AGGAGCGTCAAGGAAAGACTCTGGTCTTTCCAGTCGGTTGACTAACACTTTCGCTGGCTCTCTGCGACAGTTGATACTTGCAGACAACCAAATTGATGACGACGTATTCGAACAAATCACGCTCCTTAGCGAACTACGGGTTCTCAATCTATCGTATAACGACCTCAGCGACATGCCCCAGCGATGTATCAAGAATTGGCCGCAGCTTGTTGAGCTATACCTATCGGGCAACGACCTAACTAGCTTGCCTGTTGATGATCTAGAGGAATACAGTCTACTTCAAGTGCTTCACATCAACAACAACAAATTCACTAACCTCCCGGCTGATATTTCAAGAGCAAAGAAGCTAGCTGTACTTGACTGTGGAAACAATTCGTTGAAATACAACATTTCTAATGTTCCGTATGATTGGAATTGGAACCTCAATCCCAACCTGCGCTATCTCAACTTGTCAGGCAACAAACGCTTAGAAATCAAACAGAACAACCAAGGCACTGTTGCACAGAACCGCGAACAGTACACCGATTTTAGCCGTCTGCTAAATCTTCGCGTTCTAGGGTTGATGGATGTGACTCTAACTCAACCCAGCATCCCTGACCAAAGCGAAGATCGTCGCGTGAGGACGTCTGGCTCATTGGCGGGCCATCTCCCATACGGCATGGCCGACACAATGGGAAGAAATGAACACCTATCTACTATCGACCTCGTTGTTCCTCGATTCAATTCATCGGATACAGAAACACTCCTCGGTTTATTTGACGGCCAGGCCCTTTCTAGTGGTGGTTCTAAGATCGCCAAGTACTTGCATGAGAACTTTGGTCATATATTCACGATGGAATTGAAGGCTCTCAAAACGCGCCAGAATGAAGGACCTGCCGATGCGCTGCGCCGTGCTTTCCTTGCCCTGAACAAAGATTTGGTTACTATAGCTATCGAGCACACAGAGAAACGACCAATGGGCATGCATCGCGGGTCCGGAGCCCCTGTGGTCCTGAGTAAGGAGGATCTAAATTCAGGAGGTGTTGCCACTATTGCGTACCTTCAGGCCCAAGAATTGTATATTGCCAACGTAGGTGATGCACAAGCAATGATCATTCAGTCAGATGGCTCTCATAAGCTTTTGACACGGAAGCACGACCCAGCTGAGCCTGCAGAACGGCAGCGAATTCGTGATGCTGGTGGTTGGGTATCCCGTCAAGGGAAACTGAATGATCTCCTCGAGGTCTCTCGTGCCTTTGGGTACGTTGACCTAATGCCGGCTGTACAAGCGGCCCCTGATGTCAACCATGTCTCAATCACACCCCAGGATGAAACGATCGTGATTGCAACTAAGGAGCTATGGGAATATCTCAAGCCTGCGTTGATTGTTGACGTCTCGCGGTCCGAGCGAGGTGACCTCATGCGAGCCTCGCAGAAGCTGCGAGACCTTGCTATGGCATATGGTTCAACGAGTAAGATCATGGTAATGATGATTAGTGTTGCTGATCTCAAGCGCCGACAAGAACGATCGACGCGTCTGCATAGGGGCCAGAGCATGTCTCTATACCCCTCAGGTGTTCCAGATGAGTTTCAATATCCAACAAAGCGAGGCAAAAAACCAAAGGGTGGAATTCTGGACTCAGACTTGCACCGTCTTGAGGCTGAGGTGCCCGCACCAACCGAAAAACCTTCAATCGTTTTCACGGATATTAAAAATTCTACAAACCTATGGGAGATGTATCCTGATGCCATGAGGTCCTCCATCAAACTTCACAACGAGGTCATGCGTCGGCAGCTCCGACGAATCGGCGGATACGAAGTCAAGACAGAGGGCGATGCTTTCATGGTGTCCTTTCCTACCGCAACATCCGCCCTACTATGGTGCTTCTCCGTTCAGATGCAACTCCTTGAGGTGAATTGGCCGTCCGAAGTGCTCAATTCAGTCTCATGCCAGGAGATCTGGGACAAGGATAACAACTTGATCTTCAAGGGCCTTTCTGTCAGAATGGGCATTCATTATGGCGAGCCAGTAGCTGAGATTGATCCTGTTACTCGCCGTATGGACTATTTTGGACCAATGGTCAACAAAGCCTCTCGTATCTCTGCAGTTGCCGATGGCGGTCAAATTGCAGTCTCTGCAGATTTTATCTCTGAAATCCAGCGGTGTCTCGAGACCTACCAAGAGAACGATCGAACCGGATCTATGGGCTCCGACGAAGCATTTGATGACACAGCAACTGCTCTAGCTATACGGAAGGAATTGAAATCTCTCACCTCTCAAGGTTTTGAGGTCAAGGAAATGGGCGAGAGGAAACTGAAGGGACTCGAAAATCCCGAGTATGTCTATTCTCTCTATCCGCATGCTCTTGCCTGCCGAATCGATTATCACATGGCTCCCACAACAACGGCGGGTTTGTCCGATCAGCCCGCACGGCTTGTGCCTGGAAGCGAGCTTGGCATCGATCCAGAGATGATTTGGTCCCTATGGAAAGTTAGTTTACGCCTAGAGATGCTTTGCAGCTCTTTGGAAGAGATGTCAGGGAGAGGGTTGCAACCTCCTGAAACTGAGCTGCTCGAGCGTATGAAGCAGCGTGGTGGCGAGGTTACAGACCGTTTTCTATTCAATTTCATGGAGCACCAAGTGAGCCGCATCGAGGTAAGACGACTCTTCTCGTGTAAGTTTAACAGTTCGCTAACTGGTTCTCGCAGACTTGTGTCTCGACCTTAGCCCTTCGACACATTGCCATGGGTGGCGGTCATATCAAACAACTGGAAGACCTTCGCGCACCAATGGCTGTCATACTCAGCCACGTCAGCAAACAGATGGCCGAGCTAAAAAGGTATAAGGCAAAGTACGGCCCTCTCGAGATCTCCGAAGACGAGGGAAGCGACACAGAACAAGAATAGCGAGGCCTATTCTATGTTACTTCGTTTCAACCTGTGAAAATCTGTACTGTAGAACACGTCCATGGCGATCATTTTGACCTAAGCCCCTAGCGCCATGGTTTCGCTCACGTTCTATCGGGTACAACGTTATACTATATTTTTATTAACCTGAAAACGCGCTACGAAATCATCTTCTAACGACAGCGAGGAAACAGCCTGTTTTGTTTCAGATTCAAGGATGGTGGAAGGGGGGAACGGCGTTTCCTAGGAGCAAGCATACCGGGATCATCAAAAGGAATTTTTTGTTTAACCAGGCGAGGTCTCCTCTAGCCGACATGATACCTGATCTCGAAGTCCTCGATACCTGGAGAGGATTGGTTGGCGATACTTGCGGATCCGGTATTGGATCACTACGATCGTAGATTACAATGTAATATGGTCCTGTATCGGGCGTTGTGGTATTTGGACGAATTGATTTTAAGCAAGGGGTTATCAAGCACCGTTGAGCATCGCAGGGGTCGGCTTTTCATTAAAGACCTGGCTGGATTGCCAGGAAATGGGTGGAAATGGGTGGTTGGGCTATTCCTAATTGATACCAACATTATGAATATATCTTTTTAGGTAACGTGACATTGATCTCTGCTTGGATGATTTTAAACATCACATCTTGTTTGCTCTGTCTTAGGCTTTGATCCGAATAAGTAGAGCTACGTCGTATTTTCCGGTTGTCTCCTAGTCCCACTCCCATGCCTAACAGTATCTACGCCGGGCCCTTAAGACGGGAGAGAAAATATGTTTTAGCTAGCATATGGCAGTATTATGCATAATTATAATAAATAATAATAGCATTCTATTGCTTGCTGTTAATCGAAGAATACATGATGCCCATGGCTAATCATATATTATAGCGTGAGGCCCAAGCTGGGCACGTTGTTAATAATGCCTACCCTCTCACTCCGTAAATTAGCTCAAAGAAAAACTCTATCGAGAATCAATCAGCAATCGCCACCACCGGATAAGATACGTGAGTGAATACATTTCAGAAATACATCTGTATGTAATAGTAGGTAGGTAGGACCTAGTTACCTACCTAACATACTAACTCTCCTACACCTCACCTCACCTCAACCCCTCCACCACGAAAATCTTTTCTTTCCTTCTTTCTTCCCTGCTTTCTGCTTCTTATAACACCCCTTACATGTCCCTTGTCTAACCAACGTATCGTATGGTCCGTCCTCGTGTCCACAGTCACCGAATTTCCCGTGCGTCTTGAGCGCCGCGAAGCACTTGTGTTGAATCCTGTTCTTCGAAGATATAGAGCCGGCGCACTTCTCGCAGATCGTTCGTGTGTTCTCACTGTAGCACATTCTCTAACAAAAGAATAATATAGCGTATGCTTTATCTGCTAGATGGGTAGTCTCGATCGTAGATTACTATAGGAAAGAAATGGAATTATACTGTTGCTACCTTGTTTGTATAACCTCGGGTTGTAGACAAAGAACCGATATGTTTTCGATAATCCTGCGTATAATATAGCTGAAAGACATTGGACCGGATGTTGCCATTTCGAGGTGTATATACTGCTTTATGACGGCTTTGTTATCTCGGCTTGAGAGGGTGGAGGAGAATACAAAGGAATAGAGATCCTTGTTCTTTTGTCTGGAAAATAGAATTTGCCTTCTTTACTTCACTTAACTAGGCGCTGTATCTTTAAGATTGGCCTTGAGAAAAAGAAGAGAGACTAGGACACACTAAAGGGGGGGTAAAGAGAGGGTAGACTAGGAATGCCTCCATGCTACATGGACAATGTAATATCACAAGGAAGCAATAATATAAGCATTAGATAATTATTTTCAGCAAGAATAGCTATTATTTAAAGTTTAAATGAAAAGAGAAAAGCTTTAATGCTAAATAATGTCTTCTTAAAATTATGTGTAAATAAAGGCATGGAAACCAAATCCACCTATGGCTATCTTATAAAAAAACATCACCTTCTTATACAAACAACTTGAAAACAATATTTTCTAAAATAAATCTTAAAGCTAAAGCTAAAAAAAGGCAATCAAAAAAAAGTAAACAATGTGGAAAAAAAAGGGGGGGTCAAGGTGGCCAAAAAAAAAAAAAGCAAAAAGAAATGCACCAGCCAGGATTTGCACCCAGGTCCTTTCCTTCCTTTTGCTCTATGATAGAATAAATGGGAGGGAAATAAGTTAACTACTACTCTACTGGTGCCTACCATGGGTTCTAAGCATCCTCATGTGTGAACTTTATATTGTGTAGTTACTGATATACCTAGGGATAGTTAGTTGTTTGCTTGCGCAGGCACACGCGTGGACGCGTGTGACATGCTGTGCAAGCCTAAGTACTTAAGTACTAAGTATAACGCGCCAGCGTCTTGGAAGGGAGAAAGTGTATAAGAGAGAGAGAGGTACTTACTTATATACCATGCATTAATTTTTTTTTTGTTTGTTCACCATTCCCTTGCATGTCTATGCTTATGTTAAGCAGACCGGCCTGTAAATAACCCACAAGTGATATTGTTAAAGGCCAGGAGGTAAATAAGTAGGCTTGTTCTTTTTTCACATAACTACCTATGTATAAATAAGGGGAAATATTCACATAAGCCTTTAGTTGCTTTACTTTGCCTGTTATCTAGGTACCTAGGAAGCTTATATAACTTAATATATACAACTAAAACTACTTAAGGCAGCCTGACATTATGTACAGCCTAGCGTTAAATATACTATTTAAGCAAAGTGTATAAAATCAGTTTATTATAATGTGCAACACATCTTGGTACCCAGTGATACACATGCCTAGAGTTAAGACAACATATAAAGTATAGTTAGCTAGCATATATTGTATTGCGCCAGTCTTTGTAAGGGAAATGGGCCAACTAAATAAACACAAACAAACGGTTTTAATTCATGGCTCTAATTGTCAAATTTTAAGGAAGTATAAAATTCCAGGTATATTAAGAGATCTCTGCTGACTACCAGTCCGCGGACAATTCCATCGCACCTCACCATAAAGTAAATGCTCTCATTTTTATCCATGCCAAACTCAGCTATACACACGCATACAAATTCAATAGGCTAAAAACCCACAAGCACATGAGCGCAGATCGAGATAATGAATGTTGCCTTAAATCTAGGTCATCCACGTCCCTATCTAGACACCCACCTATTATCTCCGACCGACAACAAACCATGTTGTACACAACAGAGGGCTGCCCAAGCAGCCCGCCTAATGCTGCCACGCCGTAAAGTATGTCCAAAGGGGTATATATATGTATGCAGCCCAGTCCCAAGAAACATAATACATACGCTAAGCGAAACAGGTCCTCCTTGCCTATTATAAACAACTGGATTGCGCATTACAAGATTGCGGTAGAAGGTCTCATGAACCCGTGAGTTTCCTCCACCAGCTGCTCCGAGGCGTCGTATCCATGAAAGGTAGCGATTCGCGCGGTGCCTGCTGCGCCTTTTCTCCACTACCGTCTGATCCACCCATGCGATGCTCTCGGCGCTCACGCTCGTCGCGTCGTGCACGCCGCCGTCTCTGATCGTCCTCATACTCTTCCCTCATGTCATCGTATCTCTCCCTCTCCCTCTCCCGTCGACGGGCTGCTCGCCGGGCGGCACGCCGGGCTTCCTCATCATCCGTGGCAGGGGGGGCATCGTCCATTAGCCCGTTGTCCGGGGGTGGGCCCGCGTCTGAATGCTCCTTGACCCACGAGCTTGTGCCTGAGTGTGGCCAAGTTGGCGTCCTTTTCTTGCTACGTTCATCGTCTGTGTGCCTCGAAGTCCTTTCTCGTGGATACACATAATCACCCCCCGTGGGTATGGAACGGTTCCGACTGGCTTTCTCAGCCCGCCTAGCTTCGCGTCTCCGTCGACGCTCTTCGCCGTCTTCGGTTGCCTCTGCATGTCGCATACGTCGTTTGTCAGCTCGGGCAGCCCGACGAGCTTCCGCTTCCGCTTCCTCCATAGCTGCGGCTTCTTTTTCAAGCCTACGGCGGCGCCGACGCTCTGTCCTCTCAGCCTCCTTCGCTTCGGCTTCCTCATTTGCGAGCCGCTGCGCCTCGCGTTCTCGTGCAGCCCTACGCTCAGCTCTTCGAGCTTCTCGCTCTTCTTGTCTACGAGCTTCTTCCTCATCCTCTTCTTGACGTCTGCGTCGCTCGCGCCGAGCGTCCTTTTCACGCCGAGATTCATCAGCCCGTTCCTGTTCCTTCATTGCTCGGCGAGCAGCGCGCCGAGCTTCGCGATCAGCATCAATTTCAGGCTCTGCATTACTCGTTCCTCGTGAGCGCCTTGCTCTCTTATCGTGTCTCCCTTCATCATCAGTGGCGTGATATGTACTTCGACGGCGGAGTTCAGGGCGAGGTTCAGGACGAGGGGTTGAGGACATGAGACCACCAAAAAGGCCAGAGATACCCTTCTTGGCGTTTGAGCTGGATCGTCTCAGAGGCGTCACGTTAGTGGGGCCATCTACATCAACCATAAATACATCCTCATTTGGTTTTGCCTGTTTTGAGTCAGTACCATCGAGTTTGAATAATACTGTGCGCTTTACCTTTGGTCGTCTGCGCGCTGACTTGTCGGGACTTGACGTAAAATCGCGGGTCCCGACCATGACGATGTCATCTTCTTCTGGAGCTTCGCGAGTCCTCGAGGTTCTCCTACTATGACCCTTGTTCACTCCTAGAAGCCGCGCCGCCTTCGAGTTCATACCAGATATTTCTTCGGGAGGAGGCGATGCAAGTCCACCGCTCATATCAACTGAGTGGCGTCTTGAGCTTGATCTGCTCGCGTACTTGTCTCGTGTCGACATGGAGCGCGAAAGAGGGGGCGTACTTTGGAAAAGACTATTCATACGGGTCTTGGAAATTGGGGGAGGTCCCTTATCTTGCTGCTCTGCCTTATCCGAGGCCGAACCCCTGGATGATACTTTTTCCTCTCTCTCCTTCCTTGGCCTCTTGGCCTCAGACCTAGACTTCGATGACTTCTTCTCCTCCTTAGCTGGTGAGGCCGAAGCCGACCACATGCCCCATGACGCGCTTCCGTCACGGTTGATTCTGGCTCGCTCTTTCTTGGAAGATTTGGACTCAGGTGATGGTGGTGATGGTGGCGTTGGGGGCGCATCGGGCACCGCAGGTGGTGGAGGAGGCGCTGGGGGAGGTACAGGAGCGGCTTTTTCCTTAGACTTGCCCTTCTTACTCTTTTTCGACTTCTTTTCTACGACGGGAGAGAGATCAATGATTTCGACAATTTCGTCTTCATCTTGATGCATATCGTCGTCTTTCTTTGACTCTTCTTCTGCCGGCGCCATGTCCAGGATTTCAGCATTGGCTTCATCGTTATGACTCTCATCATGAATTTCGTCTTGATGAATCTCATTTTCATGGTCTTCGTCTGTCATTGGAAAACTGCCAGGAAGTAGATCCTTGTCGATTGGCGGTGCTGACGCTTCAGGAACCACATCGATTAAGTCGCCTTCGAAGTCATCTTGTGCCGCTGGCTCGAACTTCTTGAGTTTCTCGGCGAGCTTGCTGCCTTTGACCTTCTTCTTAGGCATCCAATCATCGGTGAATGCCTTCGGGACAGCTGGCATGTCTTCATCTACTGCGGTATCTTCCAGAAGCTGGGTTGACTCAGCAATTGTAACCCCGGTCGGTGCCAAGTGCTGGGGATGAGATGTATGTACTTACCGGTTCAGGATGTGAGTTCACTGGGGTGGGCTTGGAGCCCCAGAATGAAAAGGCACTTTCGGCTTTGGGTTTCTTTGGCGGCGCAAAGCCCGCGAGAATCTCTTCAGCCTGTTCCATTGTCAGATCCACATTGTCAAAGTCCAAATCGTCATCGTCATCGTTCTTCTTTTCCTTTTCCTTTGCCTTTTCCTTCTCCTTCTCTTTTTCCTTGCTACTAGACTTAGATTTCTTGTCATCTGATCTGGAGCTTTTCTTCGATTTCTTTTTAGAAGATGCAGCAGCTTCGGCCTCCTGTCGCTCGCGCTCAGCCTGTTCTTCGGCCTCACGTGCAGCTTGGGCGGCTTCTTCTGCTTCAAGCGCAGCTTGTTCTTCCGCTTCGCGCGCCGCTTGCTCCTCAGTCTCTCGCGCGGCAGCTTCTTCGGCCTCTCGTGCAGCGGCTTCTTCGGCTTCTCGGGCGGCCTGCTCTTCTTCAATCGCAGCTTGCGCAGCCTCGTCATCAGTTTCTGCAGTGATGGTAGCTGCAGCACGGGCGTTAATTATTTCGGTAAGTTCGTCCAATCTAGCTTGATCCTTGAACTTCTTCTTTTTCTTCGTCTTCGCAGCTGAAAGAGCTTCAAACTCTGCGTCCTCTGCAGCTTCCTGCGCTTCGCGGGCTGCTTGTTCTTCGGCTTCGCGAGCAGCGGCTTCTTCAGCCTCGCGAGCAGCTTGTTCCTCGGCCTCATGTGCGGCTTGAGCAGCTTCTTCTACTTCACGAGCAGCCTGTTCTTCCGCTTCTCGCGCTGCTAGCTCTTCAGCCTCACGTTCTGCTTGTTCGTCGGCGGCGGCTTGAGCATTTTCTCCGTCAGCACCTGTAGTACCTGCACGAGCATTGATTTTTTCGGTAAGCTCATCGAAACGCTTCTGGTCCTTTTTGAGCAACTTTTTCCTCTTAAGTTTTGCTTTAAGCGCTTCAAGCTCTGCTTCGTCAGCTGCCGCTTCTTCAGCTTCACGAGCAGCTAGTTCTTCGGCTTCACGAGCGGCCTGCTCCTCAGCTTCACGGGCAGCCAACTCTTCAGCTTCGCGGGCGGCTGTTTCCTCTGCTTCCTGAGCGGCTAGCTCCTCAGCCTCACGCGCTGCCTGCATTTCGGCTTCTAATGCGGCTTGGGCAGCTTCATCACTAGCTGCCGTATCAGCTGCGGCGGCAACACGAGCATTAATCTTCTCGGTAAGCTCGTCCAACCGATCTTGATCTTTCTTAGTAAGTCTCTTCCTTTTCTTCAATTTTGTTTGGAGCGCTTTAGCTTCTTCTTCCTCAGCCGCCGCTTCCTCAGCTTCCAGGGCCGCTTGCGCTTCAGCTTCGCGTGCCGCTGCTTCTTCGGCTTCATTTGTGGCTTGTTCGGCTTCATTTGTGGCTTGTTCGGCTTCAATAGCGACTTCAGCTTCTCCAGTAATGGCTGCCTGGTCAGTCTCGGGGGCCTCGGGGGCCTCTGTGGCCTCTGCGGTAGCAGCAGCGGCTGCAGCGCGAGATTTAGCCTTCTCAATA